ATGGATGGATGGATGGATGGATGGATGGGTCCCCCCTCGGGGGTGAGAAGGGCGGGGTATAAGCAGCAGAAATAAATAAATGGATGGATGGATGGATAAAAAATGACAGATGATAAGTGAATGGATTAGATATACATGGATGGATGGATGGATGGAAAGGTATGAAGATATGGGTAGGTGATAGATCATTGAATAGATAGGCAGATGAAATATATGCAGATGACCAAGCTTGTTTTCTACTTCCCTGGAGACTAGGACGCGGAACAATGGCTTCAAACTACAAGAGAGGAGATTCCATCTGAACATGAGGAAGAACTTCCTGACTGTGAGAGCCGTTCAGCAGTGGAACTCTCTGCCCCAGAGTATGGTGGAGGCTCCTTCTTTGGAGGCTTTTAAACAGAGGCTGGATGGCCATCTGTCAGGGGTGCTTTGAATGCAATATTTCTGCTTCTTGGCAGGGGGTTGGACTGGATGGCCCATGAGGTCTCTTCTAACTCTTTGATTCTATGATTGATATTTGCAGATATGTAAATAGGTGGATATACAGATGACAGACAGATATGCAAATCTTGATAGATACGTAATATGCAGATGATACAAAGATAGAAGATCAGTGTTTCCCAACCTTCCTAATGCCACAACCCTTTGAAACAGTTCCTCATGTTGTGGTGACCCCCCCCCATCATAAAATTATTTTTGTTGCTAATTCATAACTGTAATCAATCGTAATGTAACTATCTGATAGGCAGGATGCATTTTCATTCACTGGACCAAATTTGGCACCCGATACACCCAACAGGTGGGACTGGGGAAGGGGATCGATTTTGTCATTTGGGAGTTGTAGTTGCTGGGATGTACAGTTCACCTAAAATCAAAGAGCATTCTGAACACCACCAATGATGGAATTGAACCAAACCTGGCACATAGAACTCCCATTACCAACAAAAAAAAAAACACTGGAAATGTTTCTTGGGCATTGACCTTGAGTTTTAGAGTTGTAGTTCACCTACAACCAGAGAGCGCTTGGACTCCAACAATGATGGATCTGAAAGAAACTTGGTACACATACTCAATATGACCAAATGTGAATGCTGGTGGAGTTTGAGGAAAATAGACCTTGACATTTAGGAGTTGTAGTTGCTGGGATTTATAGTTCACCTACAAAGAGCATTCTGAACCACATCAATGATGGAATTGAACCAAACTTGGCACACAGAACTCCCATAACCAACAGAAAATACTGGAAGTGTTTCATGGGCATTGTCCTTGAGTTTTGGAGTTGTAGTTCACCTACAACCAGAGATCACTCCAACAATGATAGATCTGGACGAAACTTGGTACACATACTCAATATGCCCAAATGTGAATGCTGGTGGAGTTTGGGGAAAATAGACCTTGACATTTGGGAGTTGTAGCTGCTGGGATGTACGGTTAATCTACAATCAAAGAGCATTCTGAACTTCACCAATGATGGAATTGAACCAAGCTTGGCACATGGAACTTGCATGACCAAGAGAAAATACTGTGTTTTCTGATGGTCTTTGGAGACTCCTCTGACACCCCCTCATGACCCCTCCAGGAGTCCTGATCCCCAAGTTAAGAAACGCTGAAGTAATGCAAGAGACAAGAGTATATAAACCTCCCTTATGTAGTTTCCAACAGACCTCACAACATCTGAGAATGCCTGCCATAGATGTGGATGAAACGTCAGGACAGAATGCTTCTGGAACATGGCCATACAGCCCAGAAAACTCACAGCATCCCAGACACCATTCAAATTCAATGTATATAGACCAACAAGTAAAGGTAGGTGGGGTGGGAGGAGCCTTGTATGTATTTCCACCCTTCCCTTCCTTTGTTTTTTTAGCAGATGATTTTGCCCCACTTGGGACATTCCTTCCTTGTTTTCCTGGCTTCTGAACTCAGATGCCTTAAATGGCATTTCTTTTTCTGGATGGAGAAGAGCGAAGTTGGCACTCAGTCCTCATTTTTCCTGGCTCCAGCGACTGGCTCAACCCTCCTCATAAAAAAGTAAAGAAAAATGACCAGCCGTACTGGATTTCACTGAAATTCTTCAATTGACTCATTGCAAAGGCATCCAACCGTTCAGGCCAAGTGACAGGCCTGCCTCAAGGAGCTGGTTGGGGGTGTTATAAAAAGTCAACCAGCATTGTAGTATTAAGGGTGGGAAATACAGGTGGTATTTTCTAACTCAGGTACCAAAATAATGCACCTAGCCCTGGATATTATTGCTTCTTGAGTCACGTATAGGGTTAGTATAGGGGCCGAGCTTAGAACAGCGAGTTAAACCGCGAAGGTGCAGAAAATCTTGCCGTTCGAAAGGTTGGCAGTTCAAGCACGAGTCGGGGTGAGCTTCTACCGTCAGCCCCAGCTTCTGCTCTCCTAGTAGTTCGAAAACAGCAATGTGAGTAGATAAATAGGTACTGCTTTAAGCAGTGAAGTAATAAAAGGCACCCATGTGGACATGGCAGCAACTCAATCAGAAGGATATATCTACAGATAACAAACAAGCTCCTCAGCATGGGAGATGGAGCAACAGCACCTCCCTGTGACGAGAGTCGAGCACAGCCTCCAGATGCAAGATACTCCACTTAGGCAGAAAAAAACGAAATGCAAAGATACAGAATGGGGGACAATGCCTGGCTCGAGAGCAGTACGTGTGAAAAAGATCTTGGAGTCCTCGTGGACAACAAGTTAAACATGAGCCAACAATGTGATGTGGCGGCAAAAAAAGCCAATGGGATTTTGGCCTGCATCAATAGGAGCCTAGTGTCTAGGTCCAGGGAAGTAATGCTACCCCTCTATTCTGCTTTGGTTAGACCACACCTGGAATATTGTGTCCAATTCTGGGCACCACAATTCAAGAGAGATATTGACAAGCTGGAATGTGTCCAGAGGAGGGCGACTAAAATGATCAAGGGTCTGGAGAACAAGCCCTATGAGAAGCGGCTTAAGGAGCTGGGCATGTTTAGCCTGAAGAAGAGAAGGCTGAGAGGGGAGATGATAGCCATGTATAAATATGTGAGAGGAAGCCACAGGGAGGAGGGAGCAAGCTTGTTTTCTGCTTCCCTGGAGACTAGGACGCGAACAATGGCTTCAAACTACAAGAGAGGAGATTCCATCTGAACATGAGGAAGAACTTCCTGACTGTGAGAGCCGTTCATCAGTGGAACTCTCTGCCCCGGAGTGTGGTGGAGGCTCCTTCTTTGGAAGCTTTTAAACAGAGGCTGGATGGCCATCTGTCAGGGGTGATTTGAATGCAACATTCATGCTTCTTGGCAGAATGGGGTTGGACTGGATGGCCCATGAGGTCTCTTCCAACTCTTTGATTCTATGATTCTATGCCGGAGATGGAAAAAGATGGGAAAGCCTTTACCTCTGTTTATGTATTGTTTGTCCTAGTTAATTGAATGTTTGCCATATATATGTTTTGTTATCCACCTTGGGGAAATAGAATAGAATATAAAGAAAGATGATGATGATGATGATGATGATTAGTGGAGAGACAATAGGTGCATTGGTGTTAGTGCTGGACTACAACTCCGGAGACACTGCTGTACTATGGAAACCCATTGGTGGTGGACACAGGCCTTTTTTTCTTTTCTTCTTTGGGCCTAGAGTTCCCACCAACATAGACTAGTGGTAAAGGATTGTGGAAGCGATCGGTCAAATTAGGATTTGAATGAATGCAGTTTGGCATAACTTCAGCTACCATGGCCTGTTGGTTGTTTTGCTTGCTTGCTAGCATGCTGCAAGTCACTTCTGGTCGCTTCTACAGAAACACTCGCTGGAACACCTCAGCAAGCAAGAGTCCAAAAGTGGCAGGCTCAAGCCCAGAACCTCAACCAATGGCTGATACCAAAGAGTTATGGTTTTATGTATTGTCGGAAGACTTTCATGGCCGGAATCACTGGGTTGCTGTGAGTTTTCCGGGCTGTCTAGCCATAATCCAGAAGCATCCTCTCCTTACGTTTCTCCCACATCTATGGCAGGCATCCTCAGAGTTTGTGAGGTCTGTTGGAAACTAGGCAAGTGAGGTTCATATATCTGTGGAATAATGTCCAGGGTGGGAGAAAGAACTCTTGTCTGTTGAAGGCAAGTGTGACTGTTGCAATTGGCCAAAGAAACACCTCGCCAAACTACAACTCCCAGCATTCCTTAGCATTGAGCCAAAGTAAAGTGGTGCAAAACTGCATTCATTCTACGGCATAGGTGCATCCTACAACAATAACAGCACTCCTTCCTCTTTTGCCATTTGGGTGGAACTTGTGTGAACCTCAAGGCCTTGTTGCACTCCAGTCCCCAGAATTCCTCACCATTGTTCCTACTATAGCTAGAGCTGCTGGGACTTGCAGTTCAATGGGCAACAGGGGTCCCACTTCTGGCCTGCAATAAAAAAGAACCATTGCTGAGGTGGGATTATATTCTTGGTAAAGTAAAGGTAAAGGTTTCCTCTTGACATTAAGTCTAGTTGTATCTGAGTCTGGAGGTTGGTGCTAATCTCCACTTCTGAGCCAAAGAGCCGGCATTGTCCGTAGGCACCTCCAAGGTCATGTGACCAGCATGACTGCATGGAGCACCATTACCTTCCTGTCGGAGCAGTACCTATTGATCTACTCACATTTGCATGTTTTTGAATTGCTAGCTTGACAGAAGCTGGGGCTAATGGTGGGAACTCACCCCGCTTCACAGATTCGAACTACTGACCTTTTAGTCAAAGCTGGGACTAACAATGGGAGCTCACACCGCTTCCCAGATTCGAACCAATGACCTTTTGGTCAAAGCTGGGGCTAACAGTGGGAGATCACCCCACTTCCCAGATTCGAACCACTGATCTTTTGGTCAAAGCTGGGGCTAACAGTGGGAGCTCACCCCACTTCCCAGATTTGAACCACTGACCTTTTGGTCAGCAAGTTCAGCAGTTTAAACCACTGTATCACCAGGGGACATATTAAATAACTGCACAAGAACAAACACAAGGTGGTGAACCCTTTTACTCTCTCTTTCTTTTGCACAGCAGGATTCGTCTTAAATATTTCAATATATTAATTCTTCTTTCTTTTCTGTCCATTTTTCCTCTTTTTTTAAAAAAAAATGCATTTTGTAAAAAGCATCCAAACAGGAGCAGCTCATCTCATGTGGTATTGGAGGCCAAGAGAAAACAGGACACGTTTTGGGGGGCAAACAGGGACCCACACATTGCCCTCCTCCAAAGGAAGATTCAAGGATGGTGAACTCAAGCAAACAGGAGGCAAAATGGGATGCTTGAGTGCGTCACCATCAACAGAAGGACTCTTGTGTTTGCCAAATAAAAATAGAGAACTCTCTTGGTACTTCAAAGGCTCTCTTTCCCCTCCCAGCTCCCAACAAGTTCCACTGTGTTCAGTTTTTCAGCAAGTTCTCCGGCTTGGGATAACCAAAGAGTACAAAGTCCGCCTCGTACAGCTTGTACAGCTGTTGCCTCCACGCCACGGGGATTTTGGCAAACCAGTCTTCCTCCCAGCTGCTGGCTGTCCTGTTCCGGTAGCTGGGAGGGAAGCGGAGGAGATGGTCCACCTTGAGGAGCTGCAGGAGGTGGGCCGCGTCTTCGTCCAATGTCTCCAGCTTGCCCACAAAGTCGTACTCTATCTGGCAGGGGTGACAGAGGCGGTAGACCTGCCTCCAGTGTTCGTTGAAAGGGGCCATCTTCTCTGTCCGAGGGTCCAGCAAGTACTGGATGAAATCCGAGAAGGAGACCCGGAGGCCAGCCTCAAAGGCCTCGCTCACCGAGGTCGGGAGGCTGGTGAAGTTGGAGTACAGCTTCAACATGGGGACGGCAAAGCGCCGGTAGAACTCCTCGTTCTCCAGCTCGAATTTGCTGCGGAAGGCCGAGATGAGCCGCACAAAGGGGTCGCGGACAAAGAGGAACTTGGTGTACTTCTTCAGCTTGATCTTCATGAGGTGCCGGGAAAACTTGCCATAGCGGCGCCAGAACTTGTTGAAGGTGAAGTGGGTGCTGGTGTTGTGGACGTGCTCGCGGGGGATATCCAAAGGGTCGGCGTAAGGGACGCCTTGGTCCATCAAGCTCTCGCTCAGGACAATCATCACCCGCTTCCAATTGGTGCAGGCCACTTTGGGGACGTAGCAATAGATGACACCGTGGCGGTCGTCCACAATGAGGTGGTTGAGCTCGTAGTTGGGGATGTCGTCAAAAGAGCGCTCCTTGTTCGGGAAGGTGAAGCTGGAATTGGCACATAACTCGCGCAAGGTCCTCCGCCTCTCAGCCTGCAGCTTCTCTTGGTCCAGGATCAGCCTGGCATCCCGAGTGGACCAGTCGTAGCCCCGGACATTCTCCTCCAAGTTGCCCGCGACAGGCCGGCTGGAAGCTTGCAAAAGGGGCTGCTCTGTCCTTCGGCCGAGCTTGACCGAGCTCTGTTTCAGGTCAGAGCTCAAGAGTGTCTCCAAGAATTCGTCCACGTCTGCCAACGATTCCTGCCTGTCCCCCTGGAAGGCGGTGGGGAGCACACCATGAGGCCTCGAGAGGGTGGTGTGGAGGTAGAAGTGAGCCGTGCCCACGTTGTCCCAGTAGACAATGATCAGCAGGATCATGAAGAGGGAGCCCACCACCACCGAGAGGCGGAAGAGCCGCGCTTTGGTCATCCTGGCGGGAGACGCCATGAGCTGAGCTTACCTCCAGCTGGACCGGAAAAAGCAGAAACCCAACATGGCTGGTTGTGGCACAGTTTGGTTCTGCAAGAGGAAGAAACGGAATATATTAAAACTATACTCCCAGGAAAAATTATTAGAAGGAAGGAAGAAAAGAAGGGAGAGAAGGAAGAAAGGGGAGGGGAGGGGAGGGGAGGGGAGGGGAGGGGAGGGGGGAGGGAAGGGAAGGGGAAGGGAAGGGGAGGGAGGGGGAGGGGAGGGAGGGAGGAGAGGGAGGGAGGAGAGAGGGAGGGAGGGGGGGGAAGGGAGAGGAAGGGAAGGGAAGGGAAGGGAAGGAAGGGAAGGAAGGGAAGGAAGAGGGAAGGGAAGGGAAGGGAAAGGGAAAGGGAAAGGGAAGAGGGAGGGAAAGGGAAAGGGAAAGGGAAAGGGAAAGGAAAGGAAGGGAAAGGAAGGAAAAGGAAGGAAGGAAGAGGAAGGAGAAGGGAAAGGGAAGGGAATGAAAGGGAAGGGAAGGGAAAGGGAAGGAGGGAAGGAAGGGAAGGAGGGAAGGGAAGGGAAGGAAGGAAAGGAAAAGGAAAGGAAAGGAAAGGAAAGGAAAGGAAAGGAAAGGAAAGGAAGAGAAAAAAGAAGCAAGCAAGCAAGCAAGCAAGCAAGCAAGCAAGCAAGGAAGGAAGGAAGGAAGGAAGGAAGGAAGGAAGGAAGGAAGGAAGGAAAAGGAAGGAAGGAAGGAAGGAAGGAAGGAAGGAAGGGGAGAATGGTGGAAGGAAGGAGAAAAGGGAAAAAACATGGAAGGAAGGAAGGAAGGAAGGAAGGAAGGAAGGAAGGAAGGAAGGGGAAGGAAGGAAGGAAGGGAAGAAAAGGAAGGAAGGAGGAAGGAAAGGAAGGAAGGAAGGAAGGAAGGAAGGGGAAAAGAAGGAGGGAGGGAGGGAGGGAGGGAGGGAGGGAGGGAAGGCAGGAAAAGGAAGGAAGGAAGGAAGAAGGAAGGAAGAAGAAGGAAGGAAGGAAGAGGAAGAAAAAGAGGAAGGAAAGGGAAAGAAAAAGGAAAGGAGGAAGGAAGGAAGGAAGGAAGGAAGGAAGAAGGAAGGAAGGAAGGAGAAAAGGGAAGGAGAAATGAAGAAGGAGGGAGGGAGGGAGGGGAAGAGGGGAGGGAGGGAGGGAGGAAAAGGAAGGAAGGAAAAGGAGAAAGAAGGAAAGGAAGGGAAGGAAGGAAGGGGAAGGAAGAAGGAAGGAAGGAGAAGGAAGGAAGGGAGGAGGGAGGGAGGGAGGGAGGGAGGGAGGGAGGGAGGGAAGGAAGGAGGAAGGAAGGAAGGAAGGAAGGAAGGAAGGAAGGAAGGAAGGAAGGAAGGAAGGAAGGAAGGAAGGAAGGAAGGAAAAATGAGAGATAGCAAATTGGGTGACATTTTGAATAAATGACTAGGGGAAGATATGACTATTATCAATACAATTAGACAATTGAGTAGAGGAAAACTTATTAGTGAGAGGACTGACAGGGAACTTGGGAGAAGGAAGGGTGCATGAGATAAAAGCAAGATTTCAAATTGTGATTAATTTCTGTACTGTAAAACTGTAGATACTGTAAATATTTAATAAAATTATATATTTAGAATGTAAACATAAATGGGGGGTATCAAATGAACACAGGGGAGGAACACATGTAATGCCAAGGCATTGTTTAATTCTGCAGCTATTGCTGTATTTTATTGATTTTACCAGGGGGTTTTGTGAAGTGAGATATTTATGTTGGCTGTTATTGTCATGTTATTGTTTCTGCAATTTTTATATTTTGTGAGTTGCACTTTTGAGTGCCTTTTGAGCCACCCCGAGTCCCTCCAGGAGATGGTGGTGGGGTATAAATAAAGATTATTATTATTATTATTATTATTATTATTATTATTATTATTAAATTGTTTTAAGATATCACGTCATATTGATTTATTCAAATTGCACTTTCCCCTCAAAGATGGGCCTCCCAGCAGCCCATAACACAACACGTATTGTAAGGGAAATGCATGTTTACAAGAATATACATAAAGTTATGTTTAAAGTTGCACCGGAGAACAAGCCCTATGAGGAGCAGCTTAAGGAGCTGGGCATGTTTAGCCTGAAGAAGAGAAGGCTGAGAGGAGACATGATAGCCATGTATAAATATGTGAGAGGAAGCCACAGGGAGGAGGGAGCAAGCTTGTTTTCTGCTTCCTTGGAGACTAGGACGCAATGGAACAATGGCTTCAAACTACAAGAGAGGAGATTCCATCTGAACATGAGGAAGAACTTCCTGACTGTGAGAGCCGTTCAGCAGTGGAACTCTCTGCCCCGGAGTGTGGTGGAGGCTCCTTCTTTGGAAGCTTTTAAACAGAGGCTGGATGGCCATCTGTCAGGGTGCTTTGAATGCAATATTCCTGCTTCTTGGCAGGGGGTTGGACTGGATGGCCCATGAGGTCTCTTCCAACTCTATGATTCTATGACTCATTATACTTATACATTTGCATATAATTAGGTTCAAAGTGGCACTGAACGAAAATCATTCAAAATCCATCTACTTGTAAAGGGGAAAAATACATTAAGTTTAAGGATGCTATGGAGCTGGTGTCACCACTTGTGTGCCCCCTCAAGCTGTGGACTACATATCCCATCATCCTCACTCAGCAGGAGTAAAGGGATCAATTGCTGAGCTGCCTGTCACAGAATGCTGGCTTCCGTAACAACAACAACAACAACAACAACAGAAGAGAAAGATGACCTAAACCAGTGGTTCTCAACCTGGGATCCCCAGATGTTTTTGGCCTTCAACTCCCAGAAATCCTAACAGCTGGTAAACTGGCTGGGATTTCTGGGAGTTGTAGGCTAAAAACATCTGGGGACCCCAGGTGAACCACTGACCTAAACAGTCAAAGTTCATTTTCCTGTACCAGCCACAAATTTGGCAGCTTCCTGACTTTTTATCTAATCTCTTGTGCCAATGACTCATTCATTGCACTTTTCATAGTGGTTTCACAAGGAGCCAATCACTTATCCCTTTGTTGATAATGGCACACTATTGATTATGACATTCTAAGAAAAACTGAATGGCAGCCCTAAGAAATATAAACTCTCCTACACCTCTTTGGGACGTATTTACAGTCCACTCTTATTGGTTCCAGGATTCCCTGCTCATACCAAACTCATCCCAAACTCCATGGATGATCCCTGTTGAACTACCGTAATTCAACAAGATCTGGAGCTGTGTTTCTCAACCTTCCTAATGCCACGTCCCCTTACTACAGTTCCTCATGTTGTGATGACTCCCAACCATAACATTATTTCCGTTGCTACTTCATAACTATACTTTGGCTACTGTTATGAATCGTAATGTAAGTATCTGATATGCAGGATGTATTTTCATTCACTGGTCAAATTGAGCACAAATACCCAATACACCCAAATTTGAATACTGGTGGGATTGGGAGGGGGTGATTTGTCATTTGGAAGTTGTAGTTGCTGGGATTTATAGTTCACCTACAATCAAAGAGCATTCTGAACTCCACCAACAATGGAATTGAACCAGTCTTGGCACACAGAACTCCCATGACCAACAACAAATACTGGAAGGGTTTGGTGGGCATTGATCTTGCATTTTGGAGTTGTAGTTTACCTACATCCAGAGAGCACTGTGGATTCAAACAATGATGGCTCTGGACCAAACTTGGCATGGATACTCAATATGACCAAATGCGAACACTGGTGGAGTTTGGGGAAAATAGACCTTGACGTTTGGGAGTTGTAGTTTGGGATTTATAGTTCACCTACAATCAAAGAGCGTTCTGAACCCCACCAACGACAGAATTGGGCCAAACTTCCCACACAGAACCCCCATGACCAACAGAAAATACTCAAGGCCATCCAATCCAACTCCCTTCACCAGGGCAAGAAAACGTAATCAAAGCCCTCCTGACAAAGAGCCATCCAGCCATAGATATAGATAGATATGATTCACACACAGAGAGAGAGAGATAGTATCATAGATTTGAAAGGGACCTTTAAAGAAGGACAATGATATGCTGGATGTTCCAGAGTAGGCAAACCAGACACTCTCCACATCAACACTGACAAAGAAACAGCAAGGAATACTGTTTACCCACAAGCATAAAGCCATTACAGATATTAGAAACCAACACTTTCTTATTACTTCATTTTCCAGGTCAACAGACTGGGCCACAGCAACGCATGGCAGGGGACAGCTAGTCATTTACAAGATAGTAAAAACAACCTGTCCCCCATTTCCCATGGACTCAGCATGGAGTTTTCCAAGTGCACAAGTTGCCAAAGAACACCCAATGAAAGACAAAAAAGGCCCCACCTTTTTAGCACTGCAATAAAATGTAAGTAGCCCAAGGAGCAATTTTCATCAAGAGGAGGCATGAAAAAAGAATGTTGCCCTACAATCAGGCTGCATTCCATCGCCTGCTGTTTGCAACCATCCAAGGAAGACACAATTCCTCAAAGTTGCAGAGAATGGCATCGCTTGAGAGTTATCTGCGACCTGGAGCTCTTCGCTTGCAAAACATGCTCCCTTTTAGGATAGTAAAGAGACAGTTCTAGCCCAAGGCAACTTCTGGGGAGACAGCTCAGATCTCCTTGGCTTACCTCCAGTACCCAAACCACAATCCTACACTGGCTCTTTATGCGCTGTGGCCACTGGAAGGGGGAAAAAAACAGGGGAAATATTTTCACTTGAATCTGGTCAATACATCTCTATGTGTTGCTATGTTCCGCTCTCGTTTTAAGCACAGGCCACTTTGGAGACACACTGTGCTGCCTGAAAGATTTTGATGCCATTTTGGGCCAAATGGTGCCAACCTTTGCATTCTTAAAATGGGGAGACAGCAAGAAAGATAGGATGGTTGTGAATTTTCCAGGTTGTATGGTCTTGTTCCAGAAGCATTCTCTCCTGATGTTTTGCCTGCATAGAATCCTAGAGTACGAAGAGACCTCATGGGCCATCCAGTCCAACCCCATTCTGCCAATAAGCAGGAAAATTCAAAGCACCCCTGACAGATAGCCATCCAGCCTCTGTTTAAAAGCTTCCAGAGAAGGAGCCTCCACCA